GCGGAGAGCAAAACACTTATGCAGAAAGAATCTACAGACCCACAGTCTAAATATTTTAGCTTGATCATCTGTTGGCTTCATGGCCAAGTAATTCTATTTAGGAGCTATACATTACAAATTTTTAAGGGTACTGAAAATTCTTCAGCAATGGTTAATTATTGTTTTGAAAATTACTTTCTGGAAAACTTACTATAAATGATTTAAGGTTTTGTTTAACTAAATCCTACAGAAAACTCAGACCTGCAGATGTAATTGCTCTTCCTCTGTTTGTGTTAGCTCCCCAACTTCAATTTTAAAAATTCCATGTTTTTCTTCTCTGACTACAGATATGATAACTCTCCACTTTATGCTTAGCCCTGCCACTCACTCCCACCCTTCCCCCTTTATCAAGAAAACCTTCTCTCAGCTGGACTTCCTGTTTGCATTTAGGTGGCTTTTTCTTCTTATTTTCAGTTTCCAAACTACTGCACAACTGTATACTACCTCAAACCATATCACATATTCTTGTCATTTAGCTCATTGGAAAGATTTTCTGTCTAGAAATGGCCTGAACCATTCATTTTCAGACATTCTTCTGAAACTGCTCAAAGGACAGTGACAAATGCTACCCTAATACATCAGAATAATCCAGTTTTCTGTCTGTAGTTCTCCTCTCTCATTAGAATGCTTTCCCTGGTTCTCCATCAACATCACTGACTGCATTTTCAATCTATATAACTAAGTCTCCAAAGAGTCCATATTCCTCAATTCCAGCTATGTGTTTAAGATTCTTCCTAGGTTTATTTAATAGTACTTCCTTACTGGTACTCTAGATTCCCATTAAACTTTATCATTTGCTTTTCTTTAAATATATTCTTTACTTCTCTCTCTCTATTGTTTTGGTTGTTTAAGTCTCTCCAACTAGAAGTTTTCCCTTAACCCTCTGTCCCCACCTCTATCTGTCAAAACCCACTTCAAATGTTGCATTACACTAGGAATGCGGTGAAGCCTTTCAAAATTAAACTTTTGTCTTTAGATAACTGTAGATTCACATGTGTGTAAGAAATAGTACAGAGAGAGCTCATTGTACCCTTCCAGTTTCTCCAAAGGAACATCTTGAAAAACTATAGCATAGTATTACAACAAGGAAATTGAGATTGATATAATCCCTGGACCTTTTCTTATTTTACCAGATTTACATGAACTTTGTGTGTGTGTGTGTGTGTGTGTGTGTGTGTGTGTGTACTTACTTCTATGAAATTTGATCATGCAGTCTTGTATCTACCACCAAAGTCAAGATATAAAACAGTTATACTACATGCTGTTCTTTTATCACCATACCCACTTGCCTCATTCCACCCACATTCCCCCATTCCTAAGCCTAGTTAGCACTAATCTGTTCTCTTTTTCTATAATTTTGTCATTTCAAGAGCAAAAAATGGAGTCATATAGTATATAATCTTTTAGGTTCAGCATTTTTCTCTTACCATATTTCCCTGAGATTTATTCATGCTATTGTACATATTAAGTAACTTCTTTTTATTGTTGAATCCATGGCATAAGGTAAGCAGTAAAATTTTTAAATGCCTTTGTGGGCTCGAGAGGAAGTAACTGAGTGTGGAGCTGAGAAAGAATTGCTGACTGTGCCAAGGATGAAGGCCATTAATTTACATATTTTCTCTATTGTATAGTTTTTATACAGTAGATTTGTCAATAATGGCATATGATCAGAGGAGATTCAATGGATTATGGTTAGAGTTAATTACAATTTACTCATCTTACTTCATGTTGGGGGATACACTGATACCCTACATGGATCAATTAATTTGACTCTTGCATCTACTCAAGGAGTAGATAGTTATAGTGATCCTCACTTTGCAGATGAGGAATTCAGGGCCTACAAATTTATTTAACTTTCCCACTATTTTATAGTAAGTGTAAAAGCATAGAGACAGTATTTGAACCCAAGTCTCTTATACTCCAATGTCCCTAGTAGCTATCAGGAAAATATAGTGCATATAGTAGATATGCACAAAGGGCCAGTATTCTTTAAACATTCAATTAATGGTCACAAGACAGGGCCAATTGATACAGACATGGCTAGGGGTCTCATGCCTAAGTTTTGGGGCCCCATTCCACAGTTGTACTCAAGAGATAAACTCCACATATGATCTTAGGCCTCCCCTTCCTCCACTTTCCCTTTCACTGCAGGGTCTGTGGCTTTCTTTCATTTCTCTAAACTGTCTAGCTCTTTCCAAACTCAATCTTTGCATATGTTATCTACTGCACCTGATATGTTCTACCACACTCTGCCAGGTATAGATTTACTGCCTCTCACCTCCAACTTATCCTTTTGGTCTATTTTGTGTAAATATATCTGTGTAATTTACACTTTTTTTTTCCTTTGTCATCTGATACTATGTTAAGAGAGAGAATTAGAGAGACATTGCAGGAACCAAAAGGTCTTTCCTGGTTTGGGTGTCCTTTCTTGGCAGTCTCCTGAAGCAGCTTCATGACACCAGGGTCCTACCACTGAAGTAGCTTCTCCAGGCACTGGACTCTTGTAATGCATGGCAATCAGCAGCTTCTCCGGTCGTTCAGCAGTTGAAGAGCGGCTACCATGAGATACTTTCCATTAACTGCTTTCACTGCAACCTTAGAGGACATTTTTCTAGTAAGTTCCAGAGGATAGAGTTCCAGGAAGTTTCACTGATGTGGACCACAGTGACTTCTCTGTTATCCAGTGGCCCATGGTCATAAGCTCTCCAACAAGGTCTGTATCTTTATCCCAGTGGTAACAGCTAACAGCTGTTCTTTATACTTACTATTCCTTTATTGTTTAGATTTTCTTACTTTTTACTAGCCAATACATTGTCATTCCCATCTCCTGTTATAGTCAATAATTCCTGTATCAAATTTTCCCTGTTCTAATTACTGTGTAGTTTCTTTCCCCTTCTTTCCTTCCTTCTTTCCCTCCATCTATCCTTTTTTGACTAGGTATAGCTCTGTAGCCCCAACTGGCCTTGAACTTGTCATCCTAATGCTTCATCCCTTTTTTCAGCACTATGTGCTGAAACCACTATGTGGTTTGTCTCTCCTGATTGGTTGCAGACTGATACACACTCTCAGCCCTTTACCTGATTGATGATATTCATCATGTAGGTGTTAATATCATTTCCTCAGAGATACCTTCTCTAATCCCTCAAATCAAGTCATTGTCCTTTGTTTTTGCTTCAAAGCACCTTCCACAATTTCTAAAACTGTTTTCAGTTGTTTTGTTATTATCTCTGTATTACCTTACTAGATAGGATAGGAATCATATTAATTTTATTTACTGCTATAATTCCAGTGTTTATTTTTACAGTGCCTGGTCCAATAATGGGTTACTAAATGAGAAAGGGAGCAAATGCTTAACAAAGTCACTGGTGTCATTCATATATGACTAGTCATTCATATATGCATATATATTAAGCTCTGTAGCAGATTGGAAAATTTATATGAGGAAATAAGACCCCTATAAAATTATAAAATAGTTAAAGGAAGGTTTCAAAAGAATGGTACAAATTTTAAGTACTAGTAATTCAGGGACAAGCAATAATTTTTATTTTTATTATTCATATTTTGGTGGAACTGGGTTTGAATTCATGGCTTCATGCTTCCAAAGCAGGCACTCTACCACTTGAGCCATACCTTCAGTCCACTTTGCTGTGGTTACTTTGGAAATTGGCTCTCTTGAACTGTTTGCCTGGGCTGGCCTGGAATCATGATCTTCCTGATCTTAGTTCCTCCCAGGTAGCTAGGATTACAGGCGTGAGTCACTGGTGCCGAGCCACAAGCAAGAATTTTATATTTAAAAATAGTTTTTAAAATAAACATCCCCAGAAATTAATTTCTTCTTTGCTAATTGGAATTTATCCATTATATATCAGTAGAGAGGGAGGTAGTACAAATGAGATCAAGTATTTCTCTTAGAAGATATTTTTGGCACAATGATATTGAGTTAATTTGAGATTTAAAAAAATCTACAAATGTATCTTTCATTTGTTCTATTCATGTGTTTCCTAAAGTAAAAATAACAAACTGTAGTTGAATAAAAGTTACTTCTTTTCTAGTACAGGAATTTTTTGACTTTAAACACTTCGTTTATTACTTATTTGTAAGAGCTGGCTGCCATCTGTGTATCTCTGTGGTGAGACTGCTTTCTTTGCTTGTCCCTGAATCTCCCTTTCAGTAGTTTCTATTAACAAACAAAATCCCCTACCTTATAAGTAGTAAAATAGGATGGGATAATTCGAAATATATCGTGTCACGCAGAAAGTTAATAACCAGCATTAAAGATTTGTTTGACCAGAGGTAAGAAAGCAGTCAGGAATGGACTTTTTGAGTGCTTTGGAACTCCAGCTGAGATGACCATCATGCACATTAGGGCCTCAGGGACTCACGAGGACCTGCAACAGAACGTTTTGTAGCTGCAGAGATAAACTCCACTGCAAAACTCAGATTTAGAAGAGCGATTTTCAGGGCTGGTGGAGTGGCTCAAGTGGTAGAGCGCCTGCCTTTTCTAATGCTAGAACTGCATTAGAAAAGATATTCAGCTACATAGGCTAGGAACGTCCACTCGTGTTTACAGCCTTGAGCTCCCGACCTCCACCCCCAATCTCTCTGAGCGTGGGATGCACCACGACGGGGCCCAACAGGCTTTCCGTTTTTGACCAAGGGATTATAACCATTTTATTTTAGGCAACCTCCTTTACTACAGGGCCAAAGCCGTTAGTCCTCTTTCCGGACTTTCGGTCCACCCTCTTCCTGTCAACTAGCGGAGGCCGCGCGCTACTCCTCGCGCCTGCCGAGAAAGTCGTCTTCCCATTGGGCCAGACTGGGGTCCCGGTGGCTGCCGATTGGGTTAGAGGAGGGGGCGGGCGGGAGGTGTGCCCTTGCGTTACACCCGCCCGAAAGGCTCATTGGTGCACAGAATTATGGGAGTCTGGGAGAAAAGAAACAACCCGAACGACCGCAAACGACCTTTGCGGGCTTTCTCCCCACCTCCCTACGTTTTCTGTCCTCCCACCCGCCCGGCAAGCTCCGCCCACACGCCGCCTGCGCCCTGGGATCAGGTGATCGCCGGCGGCGCGGTTACGTGGCCCGGGCGCGCCCGCCCGTTGTGGCCATGGCGGCCGCGCTCTCCAGTGTGGTAAGGCGGGTGGAAGAGCTCGGGGACCTGGCTCAGGCCCATATACAGCAGCTTAGCGAAGCCGCGGGTGAAGACGGTGAGGGAGGGGAGGCGAGGGAGGTGGGCGGGGCGGACGGTGGTGCAGGGCCGGCGCTCGGTGGTCGTCAGGGGTGAAGACTGCGGCCTGGGGTCCCTGGAGGTCCGTGGTCCTGGCTGCCCGAGGCTTGCGCTTCTGGACCCCTCGCCCGCGCGGTCGCTTGCCTTCTCCTGACAGCTCACTTTGCAAGGCGTTTGCTTCCCAAACGGCATTTTTCATAGTCCATGAAATCTGTTTTGTTTATGTCTGAGCCAGATCTGCGGTGTGGAGTTTAACCCTCTGCGTAAAGACCGGGAAAAGGCTAGAACCGAATGAAAGTACACAGGGACATGTGAATAAATGGTTAAACCGGTAGTACTCAAACTAGTCCTGGTGACTTGGCATCCAGTAAAGAAGGATACATGTGTGACAGCTCCACCTTTTCATTCTATCTTATGTTTTCGACTCAAAACTCCACTGTGAACTGTCCTAAGGAAGAGCCTTACAGTGGTGTCAGTCTGGGTGATTCTTTCACATGCATCATCTCAGTTCCCACAAGGGCGCTTGTTCTGGAGCTGTTTCCTTAGGAAAAATTGGCTTCGGAATTAACCTTGATCTTGTGACTTTAAGTCCAGTTCCCTGTTCATGAATAGGGACATTAGTGCAAAGATCTAATGAGATCACTGAGATCTAATCATCTCAGTGGCAGTTGTTTGCTGGATTATTTCTTTTTTGGGCCATATGTTCTTCAAAGACCCACAGAACACACTGAAGCTAACTTCTCTTTTGGTTTGTGGTAAGTGAATTCTAAGATGCACATGAATAGTTAGTTCATGAGTAGTAGTAACTGTTACCTGGAAGTGTATCCAGATTATCTCTAATTCTGTCTCTATTTGGAGCAGTCCATAGAGACCAAATAATATGTATATTTGTTTATTTACTGCTGAACCGCAAACCATTTTCATTTTTCTTGCAAGAATTCTTTAATCTAGTCTACAGTAAGGCCTGTAAATAAAAGTCAGGTGTTCTGTATTCTTCTATGGACACTTTATATTTTTGAAATTTTACTAAAATTAAATTATAGCAGTAGCTGTCCACATTATTAATTTCAGTATTGAAATCTTATTACAGTATTACTAGCAAGATTTTCTTATGAAGTTTAATTAAAACAGATTGCATGCATTTGAATTAAACTTGAATTCTTTTCCCGTACAACACGAATAATATACATTCAAAGAGTGCCCTTTAATGTAACAATTATGTTTATACTAGATTGTAGGGATTGGCAGTACCTATTGTCTTACTCAAATTCAATGAAATAATTGCAAGTCATTATTGTGTCTAAGATATTTAGCTGTTACAGATCACTTTTATAGTTTATTTTGCTACTTGTTATTTTGACCCCTAGTTCCAGTAAGAAAAGTAATTTGTTTATTTTTGTTTTTAAAAACACAGTCTCCCTTTATAATCCAGGTAGGCCTGAAGGCTGACTTCAAACCTTTGATCCTTCTGCATTAGCCTCATGACTGTTGGGACTGTAAGCATGTACACCATGCCTGGCAAAACACCACATTTATATGAGCTTTTCCAAGATAATAATTTATATGGGCTTTGCCACGACACCTCTCCTATAGTAATTATGCCATGAGTTTATATTATATACTACTTCAGCAATGAGTAGTGAGTTCAGGACAAGTCTTTACATTTAATAATCTGGGAATTTAAGAAAAATAGAAGCCACAGCCATGAATGGTAGCCCACACTTTGTAATCCCAGTTACTTGGGAAGTGGAGGCAAGAGGATTGTGAGTTTGAGCCCAGCACTAGCAAAGTTGGTGAAGCCCTGTCTTAAAAACAAAATACAAACAAAAGGGCTGGAAGTACACTGCTTGCCTAGAATGCACAAAACCCTGGGTTCAGTCCCCAATATAAAGGGAGTTAGAAAAAAGGGAGGAAATAGCCTCTAAAGAAATTAGTTCCCAGTAATACAGTCCTTTGGAGAACCTCAGAGACTTTAGTTTCATACACTGTAGTAGTCATATCTAAATTTTACTATGTGAGGTTTTACAGAAGAATGAATAGTACCTTGGTGTGAGTACATAAGGAAATCTGAAATCATATGAAGGAAAATCAGTGTGACAGTAGAGAAGGGGGAAAATGAGATAGTAAAGGGGGATCTTGAGTGTTGTGATTGAGATAGTGAAGGGGGATCTTGAGTGTTGTGATTAGAAGGCATACTAGTAGAAGAATTTTGTTCCAGGATTTGAAGGAATGAGGTATTTTGTTATACATACTAATTTAAAAAAAATTATAGTCTGGTGTGGTGAGGCACTTCTGTAATCCCAGTTACTCAGGAGGCTCAGATAGGAGGATTACTGTGCCAGGCTGGCCTGGACAAAACAGGAGACCCATCAAAAACAAACTAAGAGAAAAAAGGAATGAAGGCATGAGTCAATTGGTAGAACACTTGCCTAGCTAACTTGAAGCCCTGAGTTCAATCTCCAGTAAATACAATTATGATAAAGTTGTAACTGCTTATACTGTTGATCATTTTATGAAGGTTTGATTTGGCTAGTCATTTTTTAGAAAACATAGTAACATGAAATTACATGTTTCAGTAGAAACTACTATATATTTATGTGTAGTATTTGTCCTGTTTCAATATTAAATATTAAAAAATATTGAGTGCATCAAAATTATAAAAGAAGCACTGTAATGACGTAGACTGCACTTAAGAATTAACGACAGTAGGACAAACACAGCTATGTGGTTGGACTTGGGTCACATAATAAGGGGAGAGCATACACAGGAGGTATGGGGATAGGTAAGAGACCCAAAACATGATAGTATTTGATGTCCCCACTTCAGAGGAACTAATAGAGAAACCCTAAAGCGACAAAGGTCAATATGAGAAGGGGATCAGGAACTAGTGAAAAGGTCAGGTAGAGATGAATCAACTTGGGTTGTAACACATTTGTACATGGAAGCAATGGAAGCAATGCTAGGAATCTCTCTGTATAGTTATCCTTATCTCAGCTAGCAAAAATGCTTTGTCTTCCTTATTATTGCTTATAGTTTCTCTTCAACAATATTAGAGATAAGAGCAGAACAGATTCTGCCTAGAAACAAGGGGGTAGTGGGGGAGAGGGAGGGGGTGGGGGAGGAAGAGGGGTGTGGGGGGGGAGAAATGGCCCAAACAATGTATGCATATATGAATATACGAATAATAAAAAAAAAGAATTAGCGATAGTGAATCTAGCAGAATAAATTTCTGTGATAAACTTACTTCCTTAGTGTTGGGTATTATGATATACTTCATGTTTTGGATAAGGTATTACTGACTTGCTGGTTCTTCATATGTCAGAGTATAATTTCATCTTTTCAGATAGCACTCTGAATTTATGTGAAGTAATCATTATGTTTTTATTTTTCACAGATCACTTTTTAATTAGGGCCTCTGCAGCTTTAGAAAAATTGAAATTATTGTGTGGAGAAGAGAAAGAATGTTCAAATCCATCAAATCTTCTAGAACTTTATACACAGGTACTAAAACATGTGAACACTGGTGTTTTGAGGACAAACTGATTATTTAGGTGGTAGGTCTAAAGTTTAGAAGTAGTGAAATCAGTTTAATTTTTATTTAAAGTGTTGATTTTTTTTTATCTGTGTATGGACTAGAAAGTTTGAGGCAGTATGCAAAGGAGTAAGATTTATTAGATGTGTTAAGGATGTAGTTATTAATGAATAATTAATCAGAATATTAATGCATGTACCTCTTTATTTTTAGGTACATTTTTTTTTTAACTGTTGTGCTGGGTGGGGGTACATTGTGGCATTTACAAAAGTTCTTATATCAAATATATCATACTTGGAATCACCCTGTCCACTGCTCTACCTTATCTTTCTCCCCATTCCTGGAATAGTTTCAACAGATACCATTTTTGCATTTATATGCATGTATACACAGTTTTTGCACCGTAGTCACCCTCCTATCCCCCTTCTCTACCATCTCCTCACCCCCCCACAACTGATACTAAACACCTCCCTCCCCCAGACCTGTTCACCCTCTTGTTCTCCTGATTTTGTAGAAGAAAAAAGGAAAAAAAATGACATCTTTGCTTGGTTGTGATAAAGGTAGCTATAGGGGTTTCCTCGTGATATTTCCATGTATATGTATTATAAACCCAATTGGTTTATCTCCACTATTTTTCTTCATTCTACCTTAGTCTCTTTCTTATGTTGGTTTTAGCCGGCTTAAGATTTCTGTATTCATTCTTGTATAGAGAGTACATCAACCATTCATCTTCTTAGTTTCCTTTTTTTACCCTACCCCTTTCGTAAGTGACCTCCCCTTAGCGTGACCAGTTTTTCATAATATTGCTGCATTTGTATTAGGTCTATATTCCACATATGAAAGAGAACATACAGATTTTGGGCCTCTGAGCCTGGCTAACTTCACTTAAGATGATGTTCTCCAGTTCCGTCCATTTATCTGCAAATGACAAAATTTCATTCCTATTTGTGGCTGAATAAAATTTCATTGTTGGAGGTTTTAGAGGGAGCTGGGGACTCTAAGGTCCCTAGTTTCCCCCCTCTGAAATTCACTTTTCCATTGAATTCTAAACAGCACTCCGCTTGCTTGTTCTGTGCACATTCATAAGATTTTTGTGTCCTCTCTTTTACTTTCCTTTCACATTAGGCCTCTTTGTGGACAATACCTGTTTTTTCAGTTTTCTCAAACACTGCTGATGTAATGTCAGAATAGTAACTAACACTTGTATAACACTTTGTAGTTAATATGGTGTTTTCGTGTACCTATTTTGGTTGCTAAGGGAAAATAAAGATGTAGTAGTTATAGAAATTAGAGTAGTGGTTAAGTTTACAAATGCACATTTAGAGTATCTGCATACCTGGCCCTGTGCTTTCCTTTAGGAGGTACATAAAGATGGTTTCTGCCTCCAGATATAGCCGAATGAGCCTGTAACAGCTATTGACACTAAGAACTTTTACAATTTGGCAGGTGTCTTACCTGGCTTTTCTTTCCTTTCAGAAGACTTTCCTTGTCACCTTATGGTGGGTATCATCTCATGTTGTTCAAAGTGTGGTAAACACTTTAACTTCAAAGAATAAAGCAAAAGACCTAGAGATACAGTTTTAAGTTTCCCATACCTTCTGGAACCCTGTTTATGGTTCTGAATCAACAGATCATCTTTGATAGCATGAAGATTTCTCTTTTCTGGCTTAGATCTTCCACATAGTAACACCACCAGTTATGGACTAGGTCATGTTTAAAGTGCTTTCCATGTATTAATTTATTTTATCCTGATAGCAAGGAACTTTGAAAGACATTTAATCCAATTTATATTTTTCTAGTGAAGAAACTGAAGCTAACTCAGTTGATTTGTCCTTGTTTAGTTAGGTGACTAGTGGTATAATTGACACTAGAACCCAGTTTCCTTAGTCTTAGTCCAGTATATTAAAAAATGATAAAGGAATTGCTTACATTGATGGTATACTTCCACAATTGGATGGCAGTTCATATATCTCCCAAATACTGATTGTGCATTTAGGAAAGCAAATCCCCTGAAGATTCAATATAAAGAAAAAACTACATGATCTTAGTATTGTAGGCATTTAGAAAAACTTCAGGAATTTTACATGTATAAAGACCAAAAAATACAGTTGTTCATTGCATTTTCATACTTGCATATGATCTGATGTTAATTAAAACTTCAATCTCAACTGGACATGTGGGTCAAGGTGTATTGCACCTGCCTACCAAGTGCGAGGCCCTCAGTTCAAATCCCAGTGACTGCCAAACAGGTTTTCATTTTGTTTCTGGAGTAACAAAATAATCATTAATTCAGTATTTTAGTAAAATACTTATGAAATTTTCTATAACATCTGTCTCAAATTATGTTTACAACTAGACATTTTGCTTACTTTCTGTATTTAGATACTATCTGGAAGATTATGAGATAGATGCTTTATTTGACATATATAACATGTAAACAACACACATAAAGTTATTCTTTCAAGCTTATCATTTATAGATTTTTTTTCCCTCTTTTTCTTTAGGCTATTTTGGATATGACGTATTTTGAGGAGAATAAGCTAGTAGATGAAGATTTTCCTGAGGACTCATCTTCACAGAAAGTAAAAGAGCTGATCAGTTTTCTTTCAGAACCAGAAATTTTAGTAAAAGAAAATATGGTTCCAAAAGTAAGTTTTGAATTCCTGTGAATATGGTGGGATGCTGTTAGTTTTTAACTGTACATTCTCTTTAGAGAATTTTTTTTCTCTTCTTGAATCTATTTTTATTTCAGTTTTAAATTAACATTGGAGAAGAGAATTTAGGAGAGTTTAACACTATAGACCAATGTCTCAGTAAAATGCCATGTTTTACTAAATATTTTTTAGAACATTTGTATAGTAGAATTGTAATTGTAATGCAATGCCTAATAATTTTTTAAACACATACATTCTTTATTTCTTCTCTGTTTGCTTTTGCAGGTGCTGTATTTTCTCTGATGTCACTAGTAATTTAATTACCATATTTGTTGTCTCATTTATAGTCCTGGTCTTCCTGAACATTTGCTGCCTTTCCTAGCATTGGTCATTGCATCTCTTTCATGCTCTTTTCTCCATCTGTAAAGAGGCTTCTCTTGTTCTTTTTTCAGCAACACCCCTCTTTTTCATCCTAGAAACATAGGCTTTCCTCAAGGATGCCACCCTTATCTCTGATAGTCTTTATTTTGACTTTGCTTGCTACCGATTCACATGCTTTTTATTGTCATCTGGATTTAGATGATTGCAAGATTTTTAACTCTATTCCTGGGTACTCCTTCAAGGAAATAATTTCTCACCTGTAAGACCTGTTGACTGGATACCTAGATATCTCCCTTGCCCTTTGCATTTATTAGGACAGGCTAACTTGGAAACATCATCCCAAGATTTAAATGTCACACCACTTTAAAAGTTTTGATTTATGAAAATTACTTTTGTGTAGAACTTTTCATTCTTACAATCTAATGTCTTAATAGACTCTTGAATTCTTTTGTTCTTTCTAATAAAGTAATAGTGATCTTGCCTCAAGTAACATATTCCTGAAAGTTTATCTTTTTAATCAGATCACGGACATATTTCAAATATGTTAGGAGAATTCACTACTAAAATATTAAATATTATTTTGTAAAACTATTTGTAAGTTGAGTTATTTTGATTTTCACATAATGATAGATTTAAATGTCTATATGATTAAAAATAAACATTCCCGTGTAAGTAGCTAAACATGGACACATTTTGTGAAATGAGAGTGTTTTCATTGCTTAATTTTTCAAGATTTGACTTACACAAAAATCAAGTTTCTTTTTTTAGCTATGTCTTTTTCCTGTTTCAGCCTTGTGACTTGCTTGGTGATGAGCTACTAGAATGTCTCTCTTGGAGGCGAGGGGCCTTGCTGTATATGTATTGTCATTCTCTGACTAAAAGAAGAGAGTGGCTCTTGAAGAAAAGTGGCTTGCTTGAAAAGGTAAAAAGACATTTCTTATATGTTTTCGATTGTTGACATTTATAGATTTTAAAAAGTTGTGTTTTACAATACTAAGTGTAGTGGAAACAGAGGGTCTAGGCCTGTATTCTAGATCTTTTACTTATTAGCTGCGTATCTTAAACATAATGGAATTGCGGTGAAAACTAAATAAAATAACATGTGAAAGCATTTTGTCAATTAGGGTGTTTACATGCTTTATATCTTTGATTTTAGTTTTTGAAAATGAGATAAACTATTTTAAGTTCTAAGTTTTTTTTCTTTTTTGCCTGAAGAAATCCAAAGATAAGGGCCTTATTATTCTAAAGGTTTTAACTCAGGGCTTAGAAGTGGGGAGATCATGCTTTCATATACAAAAGCTTAGTCATTATATTCTAAATTATTAGTGCATATATTTTAATAAGTTGTTTTTCAACACACCTTTATTATATCTATGCTTTTTTCCTCTAATGACATTTTTTTGCCAAGTATACTACTGAAGCTTGTGTTCTGGGTTGACATTTTTTCTTCCATACTCTTTACTGTTTGGAGGGATATACTTAGGAAAGTCCTGGTATGTTGGGTCCTTATACTACTGAAACATAACAATTGCCATTTTCTCTTGAGTAAAGAATGGGAAAAATAATTGATGTTTGTATAATTGATGTTTATATAACTCTGTATATTATACTTTCAATTTGTTGGCTTTGATTTTTATTTAGTACCTTGTTGATGGAATCAGTTACTTGCTACAGATGCTTAATTATCGGTGTCCTATAGAGTTGAATGAAGGAGTTTCTTTCCAAGACCTAGACACAGCTAAATTACTGAGTGCAGGTAATGTGATCTCTTTTTAAGGTTTTCTAAGTGACTTAAACTATCTTAAGATTAAGAAGATTGTACTTTTGCTAGATTTTATTCTCATAAATTCATGCATATTAGAGAAAAAAAATAATAAAAGGGCTTTTTAAGAAATTCAAAGATTAAAATTTTCTCAAGTAATCTAGAAAAATACTTCTGATGTCTGTGGTTTAGTAGTTTGGGAGCATTTTGTATCCTCACATTGCCCTGAGCAGAACGAGGTTTGAGTATTTGTTTCAGACTGGAAGTAACTGTTAAACAAGGCAGACATTCATTGCTCTTTCACATAGAAAAGGTTCAGAGCTGGTACAGAGGTTCCATGACATGTTCTTATCTTTTTCCTCCATCACATTTAGAACCAGAGCCCTTTAGCTTTAGAGGGGAGGCACTTTATAAAGAGTACATTATAAATCTACTTCCAGATTGTACAGCATGCATCTCTTTTTAGCATATTGTTTCTATTCTCTGTATCCCAGGGTGTTCCTGGAGTCCCTTCCATCTCACCTGTGTTTTAGGTTATAGAAATGGCAGTTGGAATTTCTTTCAGCCAAGTCAGCTCTTCTAGAGCAGCCTTGTCAGAAGTTTCTTACAAAATTTCCACAACATTTCACTAGCCAGAATTTAATCAAATGACTTCAGCTAGCTATAAGGAAATCTAAGAAGTATAGTCCTTAATGTAATATATTGCCAAATTAAGGTTCTATATAAGGAAGAGAGGAGGGATGAATATTGGGGACAACTTTAAGTTTCTGATACAAGCATCTAGGAACTTGAAAATTCTAGGAATGGAATATGGAGCCTCTTTGAGTTTTAGACTGGAGTGCAGGGGAGAACTTCTTGCATCTGTTTTTATAAATGGAGGAACTGAGTTCCAGGTAAACCAAATGACCTGATCAAGGTCACATAGCTGCAAGTAAGAGGAGCTCACACATGTAAACTTTATTTTCTTATATACCTCATGGAAATTTTTTGTGGAAAACATGAGGCATAATAAAACTTCTTGGGAAAATACTAGAATTTTAAAATATATTTTAATTCTTTCTATTTGTTTCTTAACTTCAGGCCTTTTCTTTTGATTTGAAATATTTCGTTAAAAAATAAATAAAAGGTGTGTTTAAATGTCATATCATAGGACTGTCTAGTGTTGTCCAAAAATTGTTAGTGTCTGTTAATTTAGATGAGCATCTTACTCCAAAACAAATTATTGTATATATGAAGAGCTCCTGCATTCAGCATGACATTTTGACAAACATAGGGTGTTATTGACATATTTATGGAAAATACATATTATTCTAGATAACTGATTAAGTAATTAGAGACAATTAAAGTGGACTTTTAAAAATCTCTTCAACCTGTCTACAGAGGTTGTTCCCACTGAACTCTTAACCTGCAACACTATTTAAAAGGAAAAGGTGAGGGCAGGCACCTGAATCCTATTTAGAACCAAAGAAATGTCACCTATTTCCCTCATCCTCTCATTCATCATTATAAGATGCTCGATGGCCTAGAATTTATCCTTTAGGAGACCTGCGACATCAGTGACTTCTTTAGATTCTTTGCACATATTTTCCACTAGCTTTGCTTCTTCAGCAGTGGAATCAAAGGGGTCAGATATGGTCTTAAAGCATTTCCTGGGGGAAAAGGAAGCAATATAGGCAGCAAGTGTTTTGCTACTGTCCTCTTCTGGTGTCAGTAGCTTCTCATTTAAAGAAGGTTGCTTGTCCAAATCCATCTCTCTGTATGTGAGTAGATTAGGAGCTAGGAAACCTGTTTTTTGTAGCCTGAATTTCTCCTAAGACCCTGTCAGAGAGGATTTATTTTTTTTGTTAGCCAGCCTAAAATATTTAGAGAGAAAATTGACAGTATTTAAGGGAAAAAGTTCATAGTATTCAGAATAATTCTTAATATGTGAAGAGAAAAGTTTCATATGAGGCATCAAAATATTTTTGTGGCCGGATCTTGGTATTCATTTATCCAATTTTAAATAAAACTAAAAACAATGTTTGCTTACTATGATTACTTTCAATACTTTTAAGGAGAACTGATTGCATTGTCTTATGGACATCACCATTCTGATATTAAATTCTTAGCTATTAAAATTATTAAGCAATGTCTGCATCAGCCTCTTTATCCTACTTCACCTGGTAAACCTCACTTATCCATAAAGTGGAGCCAGAGAATTTTAATGTTGGTACATGGCCTTCTCAGATAAAAGACTTATAAAAATAGCCTTATCCCAGTATACCTGGGATCAAATGTCATAAACCAAAATACCATCCAGCTTTTACACCCTTGATTTTTGCCCTATAAAAAAATGCCAATGAAAACTCTCCCTCCCCCTGCAGTCCTTTGATCCATTGTTTAATATAGAACCTGGAGTTTAGATCCCATAAAGGGCAGCTCTCGAGGGCTATCACTAGTTGCCTGGGTACGTTATTAAAAATACAGATTCTATGTGCTCTGCAGGTTATGATTATGAAGCCCAGGATCTCTTAAATCTCACTAAATGGTTAGAATGTGGGCAGGTAAGGATATTACTGCTCCAGTCCAGCTCCCCACCACTTCCCCCATAGAAATCATCTTGCTTCCCTCATTCTCACTTAATGAATTATTGTGTTAATCACCCCTCTGTCACTGTGACAAAAATACTTGAGGTAAATAAAAGGGGGATGATTTATTTTGGCTCACAAATTCAGAGGTAAATTCAGTAAATTGTTGGCTTGGTTCTTTCACTTAGAATCTGTGGTGAGCCAGTGCATGGTGGAGCAAACTTGCTCACCTCCGGTAACTAGAAAGCAGAGAAAGATGAAAAGGTGAAGTCCCAGTGTCCCCTTCAGGGGCCTGCCTTTGATACCTAACCTCCTTCCACTAGGCCTCACTTCCTAAAGTTTCTTCTGTTTTCTAATAGTGTCATGAGTTCGTGACCAAGCCTTCAAAACATGAGCCTTGGGAGACATTCCATATCCAAACTAATTATTATGCCCCTTCTCCATCTCTGCCCCCACAACCCGAGGTCACATGTACTATTGCCCTCTGTCACATGTGCATTTACCATGGACATGCACAGTACAAAGTGAAGGATTTTCTTGAAAAAACATTCCGAGTATAACAGAAAAAGAAACAGTCAAGGAAAATTCGTAGAAGGCAGAGACTTTGTGTCTGTAGATTAGTGGACTGTACGGAAGTGGAGAAGAAAGTCCCTCATTTTTATATTGTTTATCTCTTCCTCTGATATTTTAATGCAGTAGTTTTAAAAGTATAGTCAGTGGACCAGCAGCATAGCATTGTTTACTTTTAGTATGTACAAAGGAAGATAATTGCAATGTCCTTTGGTCATTACCTGATGCTAAATTTTCAGCTGTTAAAATTACTAAACAATGCCAGGTGCTAGTGTCTCATGCCTGTAATCCTAGTTACTTGGGAGGCTGAGATCGGGAGAATAAGGGTTCAAGGCTAACTGGAGTACATAGTTCATGACACTTGTCTCCAAAATAACCAGAGCAAAATGGACTGGAGATGTGGCTCAGGTAATAAAGCACCTGCTTTGCCCCAAGTTCAAACCCCAGGCTCACCCAAAAAAAAAAAATTTACTAAATAATGTATAAATAAGCTCCTTTGTTTCTTTATTTCTTTAGCTCCTGGGTAATTCCTAGGTCCAAGGAATTTGTTTAAAAAAAATCAACTCCTAGATTCAATCCCATACCAGAATCTGATACTCTGAACTTGAGGCCTGGCAGTTAGTAAATCACCAGGTAATTTACATGCACACTAAAGTTTGCATCTTTATCATAGAGCTATTCATTGTCTCTAGTAACACCTTCCCATAGCATATCTGTGTACCTTGGTAAGCAATTACTCCTTCTTGCTAATACAGAAAATGAAACTAAAGAGTGGGGCATAAATTGGATCTAGGATCATCCCTTAGGCAATCGCTTTTCACTCTTCCCAGGTGGCTTCACTTTGTGGGGTGTACTTCAGTGCCTTCCCCCAAGACTCTACTCTGCTGGAAAGTTTCACCCTGCACTGTTTTTTCTTCCCCATCCCTACCCCCACCAGGAATAACTAAATCGGTTTATGATCTTTTAGCTACAAAAGAATAAAGTAAAAGGAAACGATAATTTGTAATATGCATTTACTTATTAAGTAGAAGTTACTTTATAAAGTATAATATAATACAGTCTGTTATTGTTGTGAGTGCAATCTCACATCCTGCTCTTTAATGTTTTTTACTGATATAATCTAATGAGTCAGCTATTCAGCTGAACTTATTGCTTCTTTTGCTATAATTTATAAATGGAATTTGAGGTGTAGTGACAGTGATAGCTAAAAGGACATATTCTGAGACTAAAAAGCTGTGGTAGATTCGAAACAGTAGAAATTGCAGCAGACTTGAAAGTTGAATTTTTCATCGTAGCACCATTGTAGTCATAGATTCTGTTGAACCATATTAGGTGAGCGGCTGAGATTGTTGCACTCATTTTTCTGAGGTAACTTTTTCTAATCACACAAGTACCTGCACATTAGAATAAATCATTTGTTTGTACTTTAGTAGCCTTAAGATATTAAATGAGCATGCATTTTAATAATATGTTTTCTGAAAAGCTTACATTTTTATTTCATGTGTTCCTTAAGAAAATTCCATCAGTTCAGGCATTTGTAGTCCTTGTTTTTCAGATTTATACCCTGAGTCTCAAAGGAGATGTAAGATACTCAATTGTAGCTTTATCAGTGATCCTAGAGCATACCCAAAATAAAGGTTGTATCTGTGAATGGGATTCATGGAGTTTATGAGAATTCTGAAATTGTCTAAAGAATTTGGGGTATATTCCTAGGAGGCTGAAATTAATCTCAAAAAGATCCTAAAGTGGACCCCAAAAAGGTTAAGAACACTTAAATTATTCTTTGAAAAAATTCTTTGATAATCCTCTGTTTTTGTTTTTGTGAGAAACCTCTTTTATAGATAAGCTAGTGGTAGAAGTGCTGATAAAATTAGGATTATGTTAGTGATTTGGGGCTTTGCTAAGTGCTGTTGTTAAATGAGATGAAAAGTGCAGATGACAAGAAATTTATTAAAATGTTAATAACTAGGGTTTCTTTTAAACTTTTAATTCTAATCTCTCAATGTAATGACCTTCCCAGGAATATTTAGTGACATTCATTTGCTGGCTATGATGTACAGTGGAGAAATGTGCTACTGGGGATTGAAGTACTGTGTAGATCAGCAGCCAGAAAATCCTGAAGTGGAGACTGGTGTTTCTGGAGCAACCTGCAGTGTGCACAAAGGACTTTTGGATTTCCGAGAAGTAGGAGAAAAAGTTTTGAAAAAGTATGTATCTGTGTGTGAAGGACCCCTGAAAGAACAAGAGTGGAATACAACAAATGCAAAACAAATTTTAAACTTCTTTCAGCATCGCTGTAACAAATAGCTTTTGAACCACTTGTTATTGTTAACTACTTGTTGTTTTCCTTGAAATGGAAAATAAGGTTTCAGAAAAGAAGACATACTGCCACTGATTTTGAGACTATTACACTACATAAAGATATTCAATATGGTTACCCTTCTCTAAATGCTATCATCTTTCACTATATATTCTTAAACCTGTGAAGAAATGATTCCATAATTTCTAAAATGGCATACATGTTACTCTAAGTCAGTTTGAATTACAGATATCCTGTTGCTAGAAGGAGGAACCCAATTTAGCTTTACAAAGTTTTTCTTCTAATATTGGGGGTTTTTTGTTTGTCTTTGTCGTTTTGGTTTTTTGAGACAGAATCTCACTATGTAGCTTAGGCTGATCACCAGCTCACTGTGTAGCTCTGGCTGGCCTTGAATTTATGATCTTTCCGTCTCAGCCTTCCAAGTGCTGGGATTGACGGACTAGGTTATTAGTTTTTGATTGTGGCAAAATATATGACAAAATTTAATCTACCTTGAAGATTACTATGCTTCAAAGATTAAAGTAAATTCACCATATTGCTTTAAATAGATATACTATGGGATATAAATGTAGGCAAAATGAAAGATTATAACAAATATTTAGATTCCATTTCTAATAACATAGATTAAAAAAAAAGACTCCACAAAGGAATTGTTGGGCTTAATTATTTTGCCAATATTACTAACCATATTTTAAATTTCTGCTTTAGGCATTTAATCAATAGAAATTGAAAGATGATTTTATTGTTTTGTTTAAAATAAAACACATGGTTTCTCAAGTAATGAAGATAGAAACCAAGTTCATTTAGTCCATCATTAGTTCAGATGCTTTTAGGGAGCATCTTTTTATACTGTATTAAAGTTTTGATATTTTTTGCTTTTAATAGTGAGGGTGAAATGCTAAAGGCCAAACAGCCCAATTTGATATCTTGCTCACTGTCTTTTTGCCTACCTCAACTCCTGTTGTCATCTTGGGATGATCTGCTGATACACTAGACTTCTGTCACAGTAACTTCATCGTATTCCAGTGACACTCCCATGGCTACACCTTGAAAATCCACCATCCTGAATTTCTTTCTTAAGTTTTTAAAATTTTGGTACCTGATGACAATTCTCATCTCACCAGCTTTTTTCCTTCTTTTTTGATGTCTCCTTTCATTCTCCAGTCTGTAGCATCTTTACAGCCTTCTTTTCTTGACTGCTGCCCTTATTCCTCAACTGTTTGCCCCTTTTAAGTTTTCTTGCTTATTTGACCATTGTCAGCTTCATGAGTTACCATATGTACTATCACTCATTCCTGTTTCTCTATTGCCCATTGGCCTGTTCTTTCTGCAAGCTCTCCATATTGAGTGATTCTGTTGTCCATTTTTAGAATGCTGAGTTCTGGGGGAAGGGCCTACAACCCTTCAATGTGGAATCAGTACAAGTATCTCACTTGACTTTAGAAGAACCCTTACTGAAAGGCTTTTGTTGTTACCGTAGCTGATTGCTTTCCTCAGGCCCTATGCCCTTCCATCATATGGAAAGTAAGACTGTAAGAACGTTAACTAATATTTATTCATTTTCCCTGGTTTAGAGATACTGCTTCGTGATGAAGGCTAATCTAAACTACAGCATTTATCTATGCTATTTCCATATAGATTCTCATTTTCTGCCTAACCTTTTTGGTATTGATCATCACTAGAATTCTGTTCTCTTCATTTTTTCCTTTGCTTTTTTTCTAAATACTCTTGTCATATGGTGTCATTCATAGCCATTGCTTCTACCACCTGTAATATTGCTGACTCCCAAATCAGTATCTTGAACCCAGCCTTCTTCTTGTTCTCTAAATCTTATTTCTAACTGCCTATTAAATGTTTCCACTAAGACAAATATCCTGGAGAAATTTTAAATTTGGTATGTTCAAATAACAAATCATTATCTTTCATGCAAAAGCTTTTCTGCTTTGATTTTTCATTTTGGATCTTCCACAGAGCAGAGAAACACAGAATTCCTATGTTCCCAGCCTCATTTCTATACATACATATTTGTGTTCCAGACCTTGTTCCTCAAACATTGAAACCCCAGGCTCCTTTTTGATAAGCATAAAAATTCTGATAGAGCCTTGGGTACAAAGCAAAACTCCCCATCTCTGTCCAGCCCTCCTGACTTATCCTTAAATAGCCACGAAGATTTTTATGTAAGTTAGCATTTTAGCAGGTTTTGTCATGAAAATACCTTTGCTTTTTAAGTGTAAAGATTTAAATAATTTTTAATATGGTTTTAGAAGCCACAGACTATCCATCCTTTTGGAGATCATGATCAAGTAATCACAGTACTTCCAGTTTCTTCCTCAAGTGTGCTTATGTTTTTCAACCTCAGTTGACAATCTGAGGTTTTGTTTTGTAGACATTGGTACCTCTGCATCCTGTTTTGTGCCAAGTAAATGCCTATTTACCTTTTAGGATTCAGCTTCAGTGATCCTGCGTCCAAAGGCTTTTTTAGCGCTTTCCAGTCAAAATTAAATGTTCCTTTGTTGTGTTCCCATACTCTTCCCCCTCACATTATCACACTAATCACACTAATCACATTGCTTTGTAATTATTTTCCTTAATACTGAGCAGGTTTTTAAAATTTACCTTTACTGATAGCATGTAATGCATGGTAGGTTCTTACTAATGTTTTTGAACTAATGAGGCATGATTCTAAATGCCAAACTGCACAAAGGATTGCTGCTATTGGATTCCAAACTGCCATGCCTGTATACAGCAGTGATTGACAAGGAAAATAGGGGTATATTACAGTCCTCACAGGAGTAAAGTGTTAGTTCCATTCTGAATGTGAGAAGAGGACTTTCTCTTCAGAGCTGGGGACTGCCTTATAGACCTTGTGAACTCACTAGTTGGTACAATTATGAGGGTGCTTTTTGTACAACTTTCCATCCCCCCAACAACTGGAGAAGAATTTGTAGACCATAGTAGTTACAGTACTTTCTACTCTAGTGTGTTATAAATGAGCAACACATTTTTGTATGCATTAAAACCCACTAAGTAAATTTTCTTTAATTTAGAATAAAATAACTTCAGAATACCAAATACTCCACATAAGAAAAGTACTATTATTGATTCATTCATCAATTACTGTGTGCCTACTACATGCCATATTTTGTCCTGCACACTGAGGATAAAGCTTTGTAAACTCTTCTAATGAAGCTTGTATTCTACTGGGAGAAAATGTGTGGCGTGTTAAGTGATGACTAAGAAGATAATGTAGGGTATATATAAGGGACTAATATCACTTGGGGTGGTTGCTATTTTATTTAGAGTGGTTGGGAAGGCACATCTAAGCACCTATCTACTGCTTAGTGCTTATTTCTTCAAATTCCATCCTGTTAGTTAAATGCCTTGTATATTTAGTACATTGGTAAAGTTCTTCTAATGGAAGTTCTAATAGTGAATTTAAGAAATGAGCCACTGTTTAACAACTCATTTTTGTTACATGTAAAGGGTTTTTCTTCAGTATGGGATTTCCTAATGTTTGAGAGTTATCTAAAGGCTTTTTTTTTTTTTTTTTGCATTTTAAATTGTCTTCCTTTTGTCTCTACCTTTTCTACCTCCAATAAGGGGTACTCCATGTGTCACAGAATCTGCTACAGGATTATGTAGTTCTCTATTTGTATTTTTTTTTTTTAGCAAAATAATAGATGTCATGTTATGGAAGTATTACATTACATACATTTAATATAGCTATAATTAAGTATGCATGTGTATTTATGCCAGTGTTTAGTTTTTCCTACTTCTAGTGAAAATAATTTTCTCTCCAGTTTGAATTCTCTGTTACTACAATTAAACTCTGTTAAGGGATTTTTTAGTGTTTAAATTTGTATGATTCTTTGCCCAGTATGAATTTTACTAGGCTTTAAGAATTAGTTAAGGGCCAGTCAGTTTTCCTACCTTTATAGTTTCTGACTGCAGTGATTTAGTTAATGCTGATTAAAGTACAAACCATAACTTTTCTTTATTCCTTTGCATAGAGTGAGGTGAAAATCATGACTAAAATCCCACCGTAAAATTACATTCCTAGCTTTTCAATCCTGCTGTGAATTCTGTGATGATCATTCGATTATGAGCTGTCTAAAGGCATTCCCAGGTTCATTTTAATGGCGTTTTTGAAAACCCACAGCTGTTGACATGGTTTAGATTGTTTGTCTCTATTCTCTTGTCACCTTCCAGGGCCCCTTTCCTAACTCCCAATAGGGTACCATGTGCCACAAAATCCAGGATTCTGCGATTCTTCCTGTATTCTTTTTTAACACAATATGAGATAGCGTATTAGAGAAGTTTTACATAAAGAAAAGCCACAGTTAAAGTATATATTATGTATTTGTGCTGGTGTTTAGAAGTTTTTCTTTTTTTTTTTTCCTACTTGTAGTGAAAATTTCCAAGTCAAATGTTTTGGCGCATACACTTTTTTTTTTAAAAAAAATAAAGTCGTATTCCCTCACTTCTTTCTTGTTTTCTGTCATATTTCGTTGTTGAATAAGAATGAGAGCTTTTATCATCTCAGTTTACTATCCTACCTTCTGAATGTTATTTCTTCTGGTCCTAAGAACTTTCAGATAAAATAGGAAAATGATTAGAATTAGGGGTTCTAGAGCCAGAAGGCCTAAATTCAAATCATAATCCTGCCATTTCCTAACCATGTAACTGTGTGTAATGAATTCCTTAATCTTTTTGCACCTTAATATTGTATTTCTTAACACAGTAATATTAATAGTACCTACCTCACAGGAGTTTAAAGACTTAATGAGTTAATGTTAAAAGTCCTTTACTTCTGTGTCTAGTCATGGTAAGAGGACAAGAGTTAAATGTTATACAAACTCTCGTGGCCAGTAAAAACTCCCTTTTTTAAAAGTCACACTTGTCATTCTAGATGTGAAGCAGGTTTCAGAAAAGAAATTATGGGTTGGCTCAGAAGCGCAAATGTCTTTTTATGTTTATAGCCAGAAGAAAATCTACAATTGTCAAAACGTTTTCAGACCCTCTCTCTAAATACATATGTGTATATATAAATGGCATATATATATATATATATATATATATATGCCTTCTATATTTAGTTGTACTAGTCATCTTAGTATCATATATACCTTATTTTAAATGTGCTTTTTCCAATTAGCCTGGTAACTTTTGTTCTTAAGTCTTAATTCACAACTCAGAGGCATTTAATGAAATACAAGTCATCTAAATATTATACATAGCCCATTTAAAAATTGGTTATTCTATGTCCTAGTACATGTATGTAATTAAGTAGTATGTTGCTGTAAAAACCAATGAATATTGCTAGTGAATAGTGTAGCTAGCAATTACTACACTAGTGAATAGTCTAGCTAGTATTGCTTAGCAATGAATAGTGTAGTGCTAGAGGGTGGTCTGAGGTGGAGAAGCTATATAATATGCTATTTAAGGGAATATATACTGTGTCTGTGAGAGACATTGTTTGTTTGTTTAAAAAGTAAACAATGGAAGGATTACTGAACCAAGGTAGAAGCTAGATTTCTCTGAGTATACCTTGAATTCTGTACATTTTTATATTGGAGTCATGCATATATTATTATAAAGTGAGACTAAGTCACAGTTAACAAAGCCAAAAAATCCAAAACAAAATGGATATGAAGTTGATAGCTTAATTATCTTTAAGGCACAATAGATTGCCTGTATATCTCTACTGGGATATACAGAAGGACAAAAAGAATTACAAAGAAATTTTAAACTCCTTAGCAATTAAATTGTCAGCAATAACTGCCTGACCCGAAAGGGCTCAGGAAAGGAATGAACAGTCAAGACACAAATCAAGAGGACCAGAAGGCTGATGACCAAACTGGCAAATTTTTATTTTTGCATTAGGCTTATAAGCAGTACAAAGCAGGAAGTTATACAATGCGAGGAGAATTTCTATGCCTGTGAAACAGTGCCCTCTACCTGAAAAACTCCTTGCTCCAACCTCCCTGATTTCATAAACAAAACTCGGACCCTCCTAGTTTCACATACACAAAACCCGGGCTTGGTTGCCAAGGGCATGCCACCCTGTTCATAACCTTTCATAAACAAATACCTTCAAGTTAATGTTTCTTTTCTCCAGACAAAGGGACCCACTCCATGTTCCCTCAAAACTCCAGTGAGAGACATGGTGCACCTGCAGTCCCTGATCTTGTCAGGATCCTGCTAAGCTGCAACGACCTGGTCAGATTGTGGCTCATGGCTCCCAACAAATAACTATGCTAATATAGTTAGAAATAAGGATTTTCAATATAAGAGAAAAACAAATGTGAAATCAAAGAAGTAAAAACTCTGCCATCTTAAATTTGAATGGAAATAATATAAACTTACATGTTCTTTTTGTATAAAGAACACTACAATGTCCTAGAAACAATATCCAAATACTATTTCCTCTCAAAATGAACTGGGGTTACCTGAAATGACTGATTTAGAGTGTTAGTCAGGGCAATCAAAAGACTGATGAGGAAAATTTTTCTTTAGTGGATCTAAAGATGTTACATTTTACAACATGTAAATGAATATTCATTTTACAACATGTAAATGAATATTCATCGAAAAAAGCTAAATCTCTGAAGTGAAATGCCTATGGAAAATTTCAATGGATTAGGCCTTTGAAACCATTGATCACTCCAAGTATTAGAAAATAAGGATTTGTGACTCCTGATCTCAATACACAGTCTTACTTATAAAATAAACCTGAGTTTGACCAAGCCTGAGACAAAGAATATGTCAAAAAATATTAAAAGAGACCATCAAGAAAGTGTAGAAACAGTCCAGAAAGACCAACCTGATTTACTAAACATGAATGGCAAGGAAAATAAAGGGGAACCCAGAGAATAAAAAAGTTTTAGGAATGTGTAGACTTTGTTGAGGCATTATTCAAGCCAAATATGAAAAAAATTATTTCTGAGGAGATAGGGATGTTAAATACTGACTAGATGTTTTCTGATTTTACAGAAGTGCTTAAGTATAATAATGGGTAATGGTATAGTAGTTATTTTTCTTAAAAGATAACTTTTAGAAATGTCTAGGATTTGCTTCAAAAGAATCCTGAATTGTGGATGTGACATTAGGTGGAGACAGTGACAGAACAAGAGTGCTATAGTAGTAACTTGAATCTTAGGTATTGGGTATGTGGGAGTTCATCGTTCACTCCCCTTTTATATATACTCAGATTTTTTCATCATAAAGATAATTTTTCTCATTCATTTGATATTCATTTTCTTGTAATAAGCTGAAAGTCATTCCAGTAGTTCATACTTAAACTGATTTTTTTCTTGTGCTAGTTTTTGTGATGAAAGTAAACCACAACTTAGAAATGTCATATAGTGAATTAATTTGTAGTTCTTTTTCATGTCATGATAGCCTCACAAAACGAGCTTGCTAATTGTTGTCTTGGTTATTGGCCCTTAGCAATAGCATGTGAGAAAAAAATTTACATTTGGATCTCAAGAGTCTCACCTCTCAGACTTATTGAACTTCTTATTTATCATTTAAATCCTCAGGTACTTTTTGAATGTAAGTAGACACCAATAAGCATTAAATGTCCATTACTGAGGATTAAATACTCTGTATATTGATGTGTGTAATAGTAAATATGTGTTAATCTTATATACATTCAACTTATTCATGTTTTCTATAACCTTCTATAACCCTTAAAGATTTTAACACTTTTAGGAAGATGCTAACCCTGTCTTCTTGTAGACTGCAGAGGTAAAATGGGATTTTTAACAGATCATTTGAGTTAGATATGAGAAAATGTTTTGACAATTGAGATAATGAAATAACTGTTTACAGAGAGTTATTGTGAAATTTAAATTTTCTGTGTTAGAGTATCTTTACAAAAAGAATGGATGGCATATCCTGGATATGGTAAACATTACTAGTTGAAAATGAGTTTAAACCATATTATGTGGAGTGTAATTGTTTTACTGTGTCCATTCTCAAGCTTGGAATTTTCAAATCACTGGATTGTTCAGATTGGGTGTGTTTTTCTCTTTTCATGGTATAACATGCTATCTTGCTTTTCATTGAATAATTCTACCTGGAGATTTTAAATTATACATTTAATGTAACATTAGATCAAAATATTCCTTTAAGCAACAGGCATCTAGTTTTGGAGCAGAGTGTTCTCGTGGATTACATTAAGTGAGGTAATCTTATTTGCAAATGACAGACACATAGTACCAAACAGGTATTCATGTCTTCTTTCCTACCTATAGAAACTACGTCCAGATTTACATAATAACTTTGAAATGGGATCTAGCTTTGGTAGTACCAAGAGTATAATGGGCATCAGTTTTGAGAGATTTCAACAATACCATTTGGGTTCTCTTCCTATTTTTGCTCTTCCCCCCTGCCCTTTTATCATTTGATTATTTTTAATGTACTTACATTTTTATATAATGAGCCCAGACTCCTCATTTTGGTATAAGGTCCTTTATGAATGGCCTTCTCCACTTAAAAGAACTATGAGGAAATAAGAAAATAGTTTATTCTGAGCCAAATATGAGTGACCATTAACCAGAAATATGAATTCAAGTGATCTAGAATGCCATGTTCCGTTGCAGAGGTTATATGCACTTTTGTAGCCCCAGAACAAAGGGGGCCATAAATCAAGTGCATTTACCAAGTACACTGCTGGCAACATTGATAGGGGTGCTACAGCAAAGTGGGAAATCTTTTCTACAGGTTCCAGGTTTTACAGCATTCTGAGCTTTAGGGTTGGTGGTGGACAGAGGTCTGCTAAGCTTAGTGAGATGCATCCCAAGGATGTTAGGTCAGCTACAGAGGTGGAGGTAAATGGCTATTAAGATAGCCCCAGGATTGGCTCTCCATCCACACCACTGCACCGCTCCACAGCCCTGGCGCTGTTCCGTTCCACAGATTCCCGATAGCCTCTCTGGCCTCAATATTTTGCTAAGCTCCAAGAAAACAAAGTGGCGACTGTAAAACACAAAACAAAATGAAACAACAAACCACCCACACCAAGTGCTCAAGAGTAAAGCGCGTGTCCTTGAAGTCCAAGTTAGTGGAGAGGGCCAGCTACCCCGCGAGCGGCGATCGGTGGTCGTAGATTGCAGTGTGGACGGGCAGAGCGACGGGGCCTGGAGGGACAGAGCGAGGTCCGTCTAGGGAGGCCGGAGAGTCACAAAGGACGGGGTTCACTGCGCAGGGCGAGGCCACAGTGGGTGGAGTGACAGTTGGCGCTCCGGCCAGAGCCACGCCCCACGGGGTCGTATTGGGGTCGTGTCCCCGCTCGGAGGCGGCTCCGGGGACCACGGGCCGCCCCGGAAGCCGTAGCGCGGTCTGGCCCTGTGCTGCCAGCGTCACCGCGACGCCCGCGGCCATGGCGGGAATCGAGCCTCGCAGCGCAGCCGGCTCCCCGCCACCCCCCAGTGACTGGGGCCGCCTGGAGGCCGCCATCCTCAGCGGCTGGAGGACCTTCTGGCAGTCGGTGGGCAAGGAGAGGGCGGCGCCCATGGCCTCCCGCGAGGACGCGGAGGAGGACACCAGCGCGCTGACGCAGCTGCCGGTGAGCGGGCGCGGCGCGGGGCCTGGGGCGTGGGACCTGCGGCCCGGCCGCTCCTGTCCGCGCGGCCGTCCCGTGCGAGCTCACCGGGAAGTAACAGTCGGCCAGGTCACCAGGGCGTGACCCCAGCCGGCGAAGGTCTCCCCAAAGTCACCTGCATGGGGCTCCCTCTGGCCAGCTAGATCACCCCGGATTGCCTGTCCTGGCCCTCAAGCAGGCAGCGGGACTGGACGCTCGGGAAGTCCCCCCTTGTGGGTCGGCTGGGAACGCGTTCCAGAGCCTCGGTTCTCAGCGTCTTGCATCCCAGGCGCAATGTGTGAAAACCCTTGTGTCAGACTCTGGTGTGTTCTGACAAGCAAAAATGACACTCTATTGAAAATAAATGAAGCTACAAGTGCCTCAAGTTACAGCTGCCCACAAAGGTTATACCTGTTATTTGAAGTTTCAGGGAAATGGGAAACTGGAGAGCTCACATCCTTGAAAATCGTCACTATTGTGTCTCATTTGGACGTGTGTGTGTGATACTAGGGTTTGAACTCCTGGCTAGGTGCTTGCAGAGCAGGTGCTCTACTGTTTGAGCCACATCTCCAACCCTTTTTTGCTCTGATTGTTTTGGAGATAGGGTCTTGCTTTTTGCGCAGATGGACCTGGCCTGAGATCCTCCTATTTTACCTTACCCCAGTAGCTGGGATGACAGGTGCTCACCACCATGCCCACCTTTTTCCCATTGAGAGAAGGTCTCACAAATGTTTTCTTCAGGCTGTCCCCAAATCACAATCCTCCCAATCTTAGCTTCCCAAGTAGCTTAGATAATAGGCTGTGAGCCACCAGCGCCTTGGCTTCATCTGGATTATTGACACCTGGCTCTGATGTCTATCCCAAATTGAAAACTGCAGCTTTGAAAGTCTCTAACGTTCTCCCCCTTCCAGTGTTCTTTCAAACAATTTAATAGACTATATAGACGAATTCAGATGACAAATTAATACTCCTTAATTTGATATGATGATAAAAGTAGAACTTTTGTCTACTTGATAACGGTTTTATTTTGTAAAATAAATTATTTGTTTAATTTATATAAACAAATGGTGAATTAAAATGCCCATAGAAGAAATGAAAGGAACTGGCTAGTTTGCCTGAAAAACAACAGGATAGTGCTTGGTTTTTCGAGAAAGTGTGAGAAATTAATTAAATTAAATTAATTTAATTTAAAATTAAATTAAATTTTCTCCTGAAATTGAATGATAAACTATTAAAATACAGAGTAGTTCAGTTGATCTGTATTTAGTATAATAATTCTTTGTTGTCTAATTTATCGTCAAACAACAATTTTCCAAGATAAATTACTCATTCCTTTACCTTATCTTCTGTTTTTCTGTTTCAGATTGATATACAGCTATATATTTTATCATTTCTTTCACCCCATGATCTATGCCAGTTGGGAAGTACAAATCGTTATTGGAATGAAGCTGTACGAGATCCAATTCTGTGGAGATATTTTCTGTTACGGGATCTTCCTTCTTGGTCTTCTGTTGACTGGAAGTCTCTTCCAGATCTAGAAATCTTAAAAAAGCCTATATCTGAGGTCACTGATAGTGCACTTTTTGATTACATGGCAGTGTAAGTGTCTAGTTTTATGAATTAAAAAAAGATAACTAAATTTTGATCCATCAATGATCCATGTTAGTCTTGGCCCTGCTACTAATTTCTTGTATGGATTTTGAGTAACTATCCTCTTGCTAAAATTGGGGGTTGAGGTAATTGACCTTCTTTCAGGTTTAACATTGTTATTTTCCCTGTGGTGCCTAACCCATTTGAATACTTATGTGTGGTACAGATGGCAAGAAAAAAAAAAACTTAAAATTCTTGTTATCTTTAGAACGTCTGTCATTTTGTTAAATAGTAAATATTTTCCATATTCAGAAAAGGAATGGCCAGAGAGCAGAAATTAGTTCTTTGGCAGGATAACTCTGGGAGATAAGATTTTCTTGTCACTCACAAGCATATTTATGAATGTTTATGCTTTAGGTAAGAATCGTTTTGCTGTTCTAGGATCAATAGCTCTATAGAGGCTTCTCCACATCCCAATTTTATTTAAGTTATTCAGAGTCTTTCCTTATTCTAATTCAGATGCCATTATGTCATCACGTGAGACTACTTGATCAAAATGTATATGGTATATCATAGGTAATTTCAACAAGTCCCACTGTTGCTGCTTTAACATGATTTTTGCTTTACTAAATTTTTAGTAAGGAATGCTTGAGCCTTCCGGGATATTTAATGATTACTGAACCATTAGGTTGGAGGCTGTTAATAGGAGTGTCTAAGACATTTGATTATATTGATGGCCTTAGTAATTTAAAAATTTTTTCCAGGGACATTACACTAACCATCCCTTAGTTTATCTTTATTGTAGGGTTTCTCAATCTTAACACTTGACATTTTTGGGTCAGTTTTCATGGAGAAGTGGGGGAGTCTGTCCTGTGCTCTGTAGGATGTTTAGCAGCATCTCTGGCCTCTACTTACTAGATGCTAGTAGCATGAACCCTCTCCTCCCCAGTTGTGAAAATGAAAGTGTTCAGGCATTGCCACATATTCCAGGATGAGAGTAAAACCTTTCAGGTTGAAAACTCCTACTCTGTGTAGTGATTTTTGACTATTCATACAAGTATTAGATCAAGTGTTTCATGAGAGAATCTAAATGAAAGATCAAAAAGTAAGTATCACTTTCTTTTCAGCTTCTGGGTTACTCCCACTCCCATAGCACCTTAGATTTTTCCTTGTCACAGCACTGTTATCACCACTGTCCTCCTAGAGCTTTGAAACTATGTAATCCTTACATTGCTATGTCTAATGAGTATTTTAAATTATATATTCTTGGGTTTTTTTTTTTTTTTTTGGTGGCACTGGGGTTTGAACTCAGGGCTTTGTGCTTGTGAGGCAGGCTCTGTACTGCTTGAGACACACCTGCAGTAATATTATATATTGTTGAACGAACAACTGGCTAAATGTTTCTTGTGTTAATTTCTAACTGTGACTATTTTGTACAGTTATAAAATGTGCTGTCCATATACAAGAAGAGCCTTGAAATCCAGCCGTCCAATGTATGGAGCTGTCACCTCTTTTTTACACTCGTTGATCATTCAGAATGAACCACGATTTGCTATGTTTGGACCAGGTTTGGAAGAACTGAATACATCTTTGGTTTTGAGCTTAATGTCGTCTGAGGAACTTTGCCCAACTGCCGGCTTACCTCAGAGGCAGATTGATGGTAATTTTCATGTTAATTTATAGTACAAAATAATTTAAAACTCTGAGCTTGACACTAGAGTTAAAGAAAAAAATTCATTTTTTGATTAATTCTTTCCTATAATATACTAATTGGGTATATGTTCTCTAGGTCAGTGGACTGAAAGAATTAATTTAGAAATTATAAGATGTAAGTTTTCTTTTAACTCCTCAAATTTATTTAGAATTTAATATTATTTGAAAGTAAATTACATCATCAAGATGTTGTATTTGAACAATCCATACTCACCATACGTTAAGAGAAATTTTTTAGCAAAAACAATTTGTCATCTATTTGCAAAGTATTTGTGATATATGCTGGGATTTTCTTTTTAAAAAAGTAGCTAAGTTCTAACCTCTGTGGAAAAAATAACCACCATAAAAACAGCATAATTATTTGTTAAGGCAAGATACATAATAAACATAAGCAATAATATAGTTTAGCTTATGCTTTACTTACTCGTTTATTGAAAGCACCTATTAGATACTTGGGATACAGAGATTTGGAACAAATCTGGGTCTCCTGTGAAGATACTTGGTCTGAGGACAGAGGCAAGTATGCAGATAATCAGAATAGTATATAAAATTGAGAAAATGAACGCATATTACCAGTAATAAGGATGGTTCTACATTTCTGACTTGAGGTTTATGTTTGATGATAAAGTCATTCACTAATATAAAGAATCACTGGAGGAGTAAGAAATGTTTTTAGTAGTGGGGAGCTAGGGATGGGATATTTATAGTGAGAAGGGCAGCTTTTCTTTGGAATACGTTGACTTTGATTGCTCTGTGGGACTTCCAAGTGACAATACCTATTCTAAGAAATATACTTAGGTAAGAAGCTCCATGAGGGCAGGAACCTTGTCAGCTTCACTTTTAGCTGAATCTGTGGTGGCAGACACATGGTAGGTACTCCATATGTAGATTTGATAAATGGATTATTTTGTAAATCCAGATCTGAAGAATAAGACCTGGGAAAGAAAATCAAAGATTTGGGAGCCATAGGAGTTCACATTTGCTTGGAAGTCTGGGGAGATGGAGATAAAGATTGTGAGCGAGGCTCTAAAATCGTGAATGTTTTGGTATAGAGATTATTAAAAGGAGATACATAAATGACAAGGTTGAGAAAGGAGAGATCATGCTCCAGTTGAATGGTGTGTTAGCTTTCACTAGGTAATTTTTTCAATCTGAATTTTTACTGTCTTTATTAATGACGTATTTTGATAACTGTAGGTATTGGATCTGGAGTGAATTTTCAGTTGAACAACCAACATAAATTCAACATCCTGATATTATATTCGACCACCAGGTAAGGCTCCCTACTTGGTGACATGCCTGAAACATATTAGTGAGATGGAATCTGTTTAGTGTCTTTTCATTTTATATATATATATATATATATATATTCGTATTTTCTTATAGAAAGGAAAGGGACAGAGCAAGGGAAGAGCATACAAGCGCAGTTAACAAGATGTTCAGTCTACAGAGTGAAGGGGATGACCAACAAGGAAGCCGGTATAGTGTAATTCCACAAATTCAGAAGGTGTGTGAAGTTGTAGATGGGTTCATCTATGTTGCAAATGCTGAAGCTCATAAAAGTAAGCACTCTATTTTTTATTTTTTTAAAAACTACATCTTCTTTGTAAAACAAAAGAACTGTGTCATCTTAGTGACATGACAGTTTTGTCACTATAATTTTCTGACAATTTCTTTACTTACTAGTGCGTTCTCAAACCCTGATATGCATTGTGATCACATGGGAGCTTGTTAAGCTTATAGCTGCCTGATTCATACGTGGATAGATTGTGATTCCTAGATTTGGGCAGTTTTTTATAGGCACCCAGGGAATCCTGATGTATACCAAAGTTTGGTTCAACATCTGTATAATGCTGTATGTTGTATGCTCCTGCAATTTTACTATTGATGTTTTCTCTGTTCTGACTATAGTCAAATAATTCATGCAGATAACTATGAAACGTTTTGCTTTGTTCTTACCTACCTAGGAGAGAGGTGTGGGGATAGGACATTAGTTAAGTAGGTTAGTTAAGTCAGTGATTTAAAATTTTCCCTATGTTCTGAATGACTGCCATCTGCAATGCTGTTGAAGTATGAAATCACAATATCATTGGACCATGAGCCAGTATTACAATTTTTCCACAAATCATTTGTGAACAAGATAGACTATAAATATAAACTAAATATTTATTATGTTTACTGTTTCTATATAACAAATACTATTGTATGTATAATGCATGAATACTATATATGTATTACAGTTCTTTTATCTAATCCATTGAATTTTATTTCCACTGAATTTATTTCTCCTACATGAATATATGTATTATAGTTCTTTTATCTAGTACATTAAATTGAATTTATTTCTCCTACAATCTGTTAGACATAGAAGCAATTACACTTTGAAAATATGAATAAATTATTCATAAGAAAAATATAAGTTGCTCTGTTACTACAGAGACATCTATAAAAAAATTAGAAGCAAACTAAAAGATGAGTTCATTTGTTGAACAAATAGTTGTTGAGGTCAGACAGTGTATTTGGTGCTAGAGATGTAATTGAGAACTAAGGCAGACATAGTCCCCACTTTTATCTAGTCTTCTAGTGTGCTCCCTATATCCCCCATAAAATAAGTAGAAAAAGTAGAGCATCTGCCTAGCATATTTGAGGCTCTGGGTTCAATCCCTAGCACTGCAAAAACAAAATCCTCCTGCCTCTTGGTTGAAGGCAGAAGTTGACAAATGCTGGAGAGAAGGGCAGAAGCAAAAGTTCTACCATTCAAGGAGGAGTGAGAACCCCACTTCTCCCAGGGAACTTGCACTGGTACAAATTATATTTCTGATTCTGGGACAGAAGCAGGAAATTTGTGCTGAAGACCTTTCTATCAATACAGGGCAGAATTCAGTAGACAGGCTGCAATACCAAGAAAGGTTTTACCACTGAGGCTCAGGTGCATAGGGCCTGCCTAAGATTGAGGCTGCATCAAGAAAACTGATAAATCTCCATTTCCCTACCAATAACAACAACAGCACCCTATTACAGGGGTTGAGGAAAGGGTGTGGAAAGACTTTTCCTTATCTTCCCTCCATAGTGGCATTGATATAATGATTTGAAAGCTGAGGAGAGAGCAAAATCTCTGAGAAGGAAACTCTGGCACTCCACCTCTCACTCAGAACCAGATAATAGCAGCCCACAGTGAAAAGAATTTAAAGTCTGTGTTGAAGTTAACTATAGCAATGAAGTCAAATCCACTTAATGACTGGCTGGTTTGACTCCATCCCTGCATTAATAGCTTAATGGTAGAAGAAGCATGCCTGATTCTGGGATGATATCCTGTTTGCCTCAGTGTCTACTGCTTCTCTGAATAAAACAGCTAGAATAATATTACATCTAAAAATTCTAAGACATTTAAAACAATCAAAGGCAGTAGCATGTGTCGATAGTCCCAGCTTCTCAGCAGGCTGAGGTGAGAAGATCACTTGAGCTCAGGACTTTTAAGACAGATCTGGGCCACATGGTAAGAATCCCTTTCGAAAGAAAAAAAAACATACAAAAAATAAAAATATCAAATTGTCAATAGATAAGGCAAGATGAGGCAGACCCAGATATGGTCTGTGTATTGGCATCTCAGAAAAGTACATTAAAATAAAGATCTTGTGAAAAAGGTGGACAATATGCTTTAACAGATAGGGATTTTTAACAGAAAGAAGGAAGCTATTGTAAAAAAGCACAATGAGAATTCTAAATATGAAAAGGTAAGCAGTTCTTTCAATGGGTTTATCAGCAAGAAATCAGTGAACCTGAAGTTCAGTCACTCACGGTTTTCCAAATTATAGCACAAAGAGAAGAAATAAAGTAAGGAACAGAACATCTAAGAGCCAGGGAAAGCTAACAAGCAATCTAACCTAAGAATCTGCAAACTTTTTCTTAAAGGACCAGATAGTAGATATTTTAGGCATATGAACCATGTGATTATTCTTCCTTATTCAGCTCTGCTGTTGTAGTATGAAAGCAACCATAGATAGCACTTAAGTAGATAGGTTTGGTTGTTTTCCAATAAAAATTTATTTCCTAAAGTAGATCTTCAGAATATAGTATGCCAACCTCTAGATGTCTAACTGGACTCTCAAAACATGAAGGGAGAAAATAGGGAAAAAGAAAGTTTTTAATAGTAGACAATGACCAAAATTATTTCAAAATGACTGAAAGGCAACAAACCACGGATTGAAGATGCTCAGAGAACACCAAGTCTGATAAATACAAAAAAACATATCCAGGCATATAATACTCAAATTGATACAAACCAAAGATAAGAAAATATTTTAAAAGCAGCCAGAGAAGAAGGAAACATACAGAGGGCCAATGACAGCAAAATTCCTGATAGAATTGCTTCAGGATAGTAAGCAATGAGGGAAAACCTTTTTAATACTACATCCAGCAAAGCATTTTTCAGAAATGAAGACAAAATCAAGACTTTTTTAGGCAAACATTCATGCTGCTCTAAGAGACTATCACAGACTGGCTAATTTATAAAGAACAGACATTTGTTTCTTACAGTTCTGGAGACTGAAAGATTCAAGATAAAGGGGCCAAAATCTAGTGTCTGGTGATGGCCTTTTGTTATGTCCTCACATGGTAGAAGGCAAAGTAGAAAGTAAGGACATATGTGTCCTCACATGGCAGAAGATCAGAGAAAACCCCACCTATAAGATGTTTATATACTGGTATTAATCCAGAGCAGAGCAGTTTTATGACCTAAACACTTGCTAAAAGTATCTACTTCCCATCACTGTTGTGTTGAGGATTAAATTCTAGCACATGAATTTTGGGGAACCTATTCAAACCTGAGCACTGAGAAAATGGATTGTCAGCAGATCTATATTATAAGAAATCTTGAAATTCTTTAAGCGGAAGAATATGATACCACATGGAAATTTGCATCTACAAAAAGAAATGCAGAGCCCTGGGATGGAAACAGTGTACAAGATTTAAAAAATAACTTTAGTATTTTTGTAATCATTTAAAGGAAAAATAATGGATTATGGGTAGATTTTAAAGCAAAACATAAGATAACAACACATCATAGAAGAGAGGAAGTTGAAGTATATTTTTGTGTTTCTTCTGTATATAAAGTCTTATTATTTAAAGGTAGTCTGTTATAAGTTAAAAATGTTCATTATAAATCCTTGGGCAACTATTCAAACTGTAAAGAGGTATAACTAAATATGCCAGTAGTAAAAAACTCAGTGCAGAAGAAGGCAGGCAAAGAGGGAAAAAGGAGTAGAGAACAGATTGAACCGTCAAAATCTAAGAGGCAAACAGTAGGTCGTTTTGATAATTATTTAAATTTTACTCATTTTCAATCAATATATATAACAAACTGCCTCAAATTTAGTGGCTTGAAACAGCACCTATAGGCTCACAGTTCTCTGTGTCAGAAGTCTAGACATAGTAGGAGTGGGTCCTCTGGGTAGGGTCACATGGACTGAAATTAGAGTGTCACATGAGTTACATCCCTTTCTGGAGACTGGGGGAAGAATCTAGTTCCACATTATTCAAATTATTAGTGGAGTTTGGTTCCTTATTATTATGGGATTAAGGTCTCTCTCTCTCTTTTTTTTTTTTTGCTGGCTATTAGCTGCTTTTATCTAGAGGCCACCTGCAGTTCTTGATGTGACTTCCTCCATTTTCAAATCCAGAAATGAAGAATCTCCCTTACATCCAATCTCTCCTACCAGGAAGAATCCTTTTCAAGGGCTCACCTGATTATCTCAGGCTCTTGCTTTCTTAAAGTCAACCATGTCTTAAAGCCTAATCATGGGAGTGATACTATATTTGCATGTTCCTCCATGGGGAACAGGGTTATGCAAGGATCATAGGCTCATCTTAGAATTTTGCTTACCACAAACTGTAAATGGTCTGAACATGCCAATAAAAGGAAGCAGTATAACGTTTGAATAAAAAAGCTAGACTCAATTGTATGCTTGAATTTTGAAAGTAAGATCTTTGATATTTCTTTTCCTTTTGATATTTTCTAACAGCTGTAGAATTTGTGAGAGAAAAATATCGTATCAAAGATTTTTGAGGCATCTAAATGGTATTGTGATTTTTTTCCCCTCCTTTCAGGCTTCATCTAAATTCCTATCCTTGAAGACTAGTTAATCTAAGTTTATGGCAGAACAATAATGATCCCAGCAACAGAGACAGTTTGTTATGTTTGGATTCATTTCATTCCTTTGTTTTATTCATTTTAAATTTAACCTTATTATTTTTACAGTTCTTATGAGTAATGTGCATTAAGGGTTTTGGCTTACATTCCCTAGGACATGAATGGCAAGATGAACTTTCTCGTATTATGGCAATGACAGATCCAGCTTTTGGATCATCAGGAAGACCGATGCTAGTGTTATCTTGTATTTCTCAAGTGGATGTAAAAAGAATACCCTGTTTTTATTTGGCCCACGAGCTACGTCTCAATCTTCTAAATCACCCATGGATGGTAAGGTCCTAGCTGCTCTAGTGACAAAAATCTTATTTTAGTTTTTATTCTGTTTCCTATTTGATACTTGTATTAGTTAGCTTTTTGTTACTGTAAGAAAATAACTGAGATAATCAATGTAAAAGGAGGAAAGGTTTACTTTGGTTCAGTTTTGGACATTCTAAAATCCTCTCGAGAGCACACCTCCAGTGACCTAAAGACCTCTCACTGGCTTCCAACTTTTAAAAGTTTCACTGCCTCCCAATATCATGATGGGCTGGCAATCAAGCCTTCAATACATGGGCCTTTGGTGAACGGTTATCAAATCATAACAAATTCGTTCTTTTTATCCATCTTTTAAAATGAAATAGTATTCTAAAGCCAGTTTTAAGAGTTCAATCAATGGGAGCTGTTTGATGTTAATAAATATCAGCTAATCATTTGATCCCTACTTGTCTCCTATTGTAGAAACATTGGGATGGTAATTAGGAATTTTTTAGATGCCATCACGTTTTTTTTTTTTTTAATGTCAATGTATCATGATTTAAGAAACATAAAAATACAAGTGGTTGGGGATGAGGGTGTAGCTCAGTGGCAGAATACTTGCCTGTTATGTATGAGACCTGGGGTTTGATCCCCGCCACCACCAAAAAAAAAAATACAGTTTGCATATTATTGTTTATTGCTTTTCAAAATTTATTTTAATAATGGAATCCTTTCTTCATATGAAAGTTGACATGAAAGCCCATGGGTAAATCAGGTAAAGAAAAATTAATATTGGAAATGTTTTTCCTGAAAAACTTAGAGGGATTTTCTTCATTCCTGTCTTCTGTCTCTTCCTTGGAACTTTAGAGACCCTAAAACACTTTGAAGGCTACTAATAAAGGTGTTTCCTCTTGAGTTGAGGGAGTTTAGCTCTACTAGTAGGAGTGGCAGTCTCCAAGACTTCTTTTTAAAAAGTTAATAGTTTATTTTCAACTGATATATAGAAACCTAAAAATTATTCATAGTAAAACCATGTGATGTGTTGACCTAAGTATGTCTTGTGCAATGCTTAAATAGGTTGAACATCTTTTCCTCAAACATAATTTCTTTATGAAAATAGTCAAAATCCTTTCTTCTAGATTTTTGAGATTAAAGTACATAATTTTATCTGTAGTCACCCTACTGTGCAAGACCACACCAGAATTCTTACTCCTGTTTAACTGCAATATAGTATCTGTTGATCAACCTTTCCTCATCCTTCTCTCCTCCTTTCTCTCCCTAGCCTCTGAATCTACCTTCTATGAGACTGGTTTTTGTTTTTTTTTTACATTCCACATGTACATGAAATCATATGGTGCTTGGCTTTCTGTGCCTGGTTTATTTTACTTAGTGATCTCCAGTTCCATCCATGTTGTTGCAAATGATAGAATTTCATTCTTTTTTTTATGATTAAATAGTATTATATTGTGAATATGTGTGTGTGTATAAAACATTAAAAAATCCAATTATGAGTTGATCCCATATCTTGGCAATTGTGAATAGTGCTATTATGAACATGGGGGCGCAGATGTCACTTAGATCTACTGATTTCATTTCCTTTGGATATATACCCGGCAGTGGAATTGCTGGATCATATGGTAGTTCTATTGCCAATGTTTTATATTTATATTTATACTGCTTTATATAGTGATTGTGCTGATTTATATTCCCACAAACAGTGTGTAAGGGTTCCCTTTTCTTTGCATCCCCTCCAAAAATTGTCAAAAATTGTTAGCATTTGTCTTTGTGATAGCTATTTTTGCTACAGTGATGTGGTATCTTCTTATGGGTTTGATTTGCATTTCCCTGATGATTGATGATGTTAAACATTTTCTCATAGTTTGATGGTGATTTGTATGTCTCCTTGTGAGGAATTTCTACTCAGGTTTATTGTCTATTTTCTAATCATGTTATTTGTTTTCTTTCTGTTGAGTTTTTAGAGTTTCTTATATATTCTGGATACCAACCCCTTGTTAGAAGTATAGTTTGCAAATATTTTCTTACATTCTATAGGTTGTCACTTCACTCTGATGATTATTTCTTTTGTGAACAGTAGCTCTTTGCTTGATGTAATTCCATTTGTCTACTTTTGCTTTTACAGATTCTATTCCTAATTTTGAGTTCTTATCATGAGGAAATGTTGAATTTTACTGAGTGCTTTTCTGCATCTTTTGAAATAATTATGTGATTTTTGTTCGTTTGGTGGTATCTTATATCTGTTGATGTGCGTATGTTGAACATCTTGCATCCCTAAGATGATTTCCTCTTGTTCATTATGAAAGATCATTTTGATGTGGTATTATAGTCATTTGCTAGGATTTTATTGGAAATTTTCACTTCTGTGTTCATGGAAGATATTGGTATATTTTGTTTTCTTTTTCTTTTTTTTGGCAATGCTGGAATTTGAACTCAGAGTCTTGTGCTTGCTAGGCAGGCATTCTACCACTTGAGCCATGCCCCAGCCCTTGGTCTATATTTTCTTTTTTGTTGTTGTTGTGTCTGTGTCAGGTTTTGGTGTAAGGACAATGGGGGACTTGTAGGAGTTTGGAGGAATTTCCTCCCTTTCAGAAGGATTGGAATTAGTTCTCCCTTAAAAGTTTAGTAGAATTTAGCAGTGAAACCATCTAGACCTAGACTTTCCTTTGCTGGGAGACTTTTAAATACATATTCAATTTCAGCATTCATTATTTCCTGTTTAGGTTTTCTAAATATTCATAGTTCAGTTTTTGTAGGTTTTATATGTCCATAAATTTATCCATTTCTTCCAAGTTTGCCAATTGGTTGGCATAAAGTTGTCTGTAATTGTCTCTAACTATCTGTTGTAATTCTGTGGTATCAGTTGCAAGTCTGTTTTTCACTTTCATTCTCTTTATTTAGGTCTTCTTTCTTTTTCTTAGTTTAGCTAAAGGTTTGTGGATTTTGTTTATAATTCAGAAAACCAACTTTTTCTTCTATTGATCTTTTATAATTTTCAAGTCCATTTCATTTATCCCTATTCTGATCTTTGTTATTTCTTTACTTCTGTTAATTTTGGTTGGTTTACTCTTGCTTTTCTAGGTCTTTGAGATACATCATCAGGATGTTTGTTTGAAATCTTTCTTTTCCTTCTCTCTCTCTCTTTTTCTCTCTCTCTCCTTTCCATCCTAGCCTCTCTTATGCTAGGCAAAACTGAGCTGTACTCATAGTCCTTAAAATCATTGATTTTTTTAAATTTAATTTAATTTTGACATTGATATGTGATGTTGTAAACTTCCCTGTTGTATTACTTTTGTTGTATCCAATAAGTTTTATGTATATTGTGTTCCTTTTTCATTTGTTTCAAGAAAATTTTCAATTTCCCTTATGATTTCTTTAATTAGCCCATTGCTTATTCAGTGGTATGTTGTTCTTCATGAATTTACAGTTTCTGAAGGGTTTGCTGTTGTTTATTTCTAGTTTTATTCCCTTGCAGTCTTAAAAATACATGATATGATCTGTTGTTCCTTTAGTTTATTGACATTTGTTTTGTGGTCTCCTGTATGATGCTAGATTCTGGTGAAGAAATGTGTAGCTTGAGCCCACCTTAATGTGGATTTATTAGATGAGGTTTTGACCAAATGCAGTAATAAATAAATATTAACAGATCAGAAATTTCAAAATAAAAAATTTTAAATTCACATGAATTATATAGCTGAACTGATGCAGAACAGATCTGACAGTCCTTTACTATCATCAGTTGTGTTTAAATCATAAATCATCCATTGATCTGCAGTTTTCCAGCCTTAATTTTGTGAAAATCTGCCTCCTAAATACAAATGGTGCCTCAAAAGCAAGGTAAAAGTTAATATGCTTAACTTAGTGATTTAGTAAAAAATTGAGATTTGTTGAAAGGTGGCATGTCTTTAGTGGAAGTTGGGTAGCATTATGGGAAAAAATGAATCAAGCACTTGCAGTACAATGCTGGACTGTAATGCACCCTGAGCATTTGCAGTTTTTCCTCTGGAGGTCTCCCTGGAACCACAGGCTAAAAACACCAAGGATCTATTGTATTCTGCAGTCCTTAGGTGAATGTTCTGTTTTAGTTTTTAAAGTGGATCCTTTGGAGGATTTTTTTTTTCCTAATATGTAAAGGAAAGTCATAGAATGGTAGATCCTCCCATTTGGAAAGCAGAATCTCAAGGTAAATAATAAAGACTAATATTGTAATAGTTATAAGACACAAGAGATCATATTTATTTTATCTAATTGCTCTAGAAGACAGACTTGAACAACTTACCCTAAGTATATTGGTGTTATTTTACTTCTTTCTTTCATTTTAGTTCTTTTTTTTCATATGTCTAGAAAAATGTCTCCCTTAATTATAAGATTTTCAACTCATTTGTTTTTTTTTACTGACAGTATTCTTTCTTATGTGTTCATAGGTCCAGGATATGGAAGCTGAAACTTTAACTGGTTTTTTGAGTGGCATTGAGTGGATTCTTGAAGAAGTAGAATCTAAGCATGCAAGATGACCTTCCTTTTAGACTTTGGGAACTGAAACGTTTGCACTTTGTTACAAAGGTCATGATGTGTATGTTTGCTCAGTCAAATAGCTTTGTCTTGCCTTTTTTGTAGGCGGACTTTATATTGGACAGCTGTAGCTGTTGTGTTTTTTATATGATTTTTATTTTTTACATTAAATCAATTATAAAAAAGAGTTTTAATCCTAGTCTTTAGCCCCAAAATGAATCATTAAATTTTTTTGATAATTTTATATTTTCTGTCTTTCTAAAAATATTAAATTCTGAGAAAAACAATTGTGTCTCTATCATTACCTGTGTTTCTCTTCTTTTTTGGTACAAAGGTTGCCCTTGTGGAAAGTAGCAAATTTGCTAAGGTTTCCACAGGGTCTTTTCAACAGTTCATAACTTGTTTTTAGAAAAGAAATTTTTGGCTTCGAACCTTGGTCCTCCTGATTTCTGCCTCCTGAGTAGCTAGGATTACAGGCATGAGCCTCTGGTGTCCTGCTGAAATTTTTACTTTATTCTTAATAGATGAAATGCTCATAGAATAAAAATTTCACTGAACTGCATATAATTGGCCATATAACCTCTGTTCTTTTCTGAAATAGTAGAAGTAATATTACATTTACTTCAGTAGAAAATAGCTTTGCCTGGCTGTTACTATTTTCAAGTAATTTTGAACACTTGTAAGGTACTAAAGGTAAGTTCTATTCCATACTTACAGAGAAAATGTTCCAGAGAAGTACATGTATACCATCCTTTAAAACTTGTTTGTATTTTGCAGACATATCCTAGTATCTCATTGGAATTGGAAAATTTTAAGATTACAGTAAAAAAACCACAAATATCTATATTGTGTGAAATTTCTATCTTTAAATGTATTTCTGTTTTGGAAAGAAAGTTTGTGTTTTATATACACACACACACACACACACACACCACACACACATATAAACTGTATTTCATCTTTTTCAGGTGAATGCCATAACCACTTTGACCAGTTTTGTCTAGGAGACAGAATTTTGCTTAATGACCTATGGGTTAGGAAACCTTTGCAAGGCCTATAAGCATACAGTTCCACATTTGCTAAAATGCCCACTTAGATACTGTGGTTTTACTACAGTAAGATAATTATTATTATTCCTCATAATAATAATAATTAAAGTTATGTGGAACAATGAATTAACTTACTGAGAACCTTATGGAAACCATGTTTTCACATTAACTATCTTTTTTAAAAGCATTCCAATGATATAACTAAGATATTATCTCTGATTCATGGAGGAAATAGAATATTCAGATATTTTAGTATCAAACCCTACTTTGGCTAAAATTAAGATAAGTTTATTTTCCTAGTTTTGGCTTAATTTTCTAGAGTATCAACCAAGTCCTTTTTTCTTCTAACTATGAAATGTGATCCTCTTGTATTAGTTCATTTTTTTAATTTATTTTATTTTTTTTATTATTCATATGTGCATACAATGCTTGGGTCATTTCTCCCCCCTGCCCCCACCCCCTCCCTTACCACCCACTCCACCCCCTTCCTCTCCCCCCCACCCCCTCGATACTCGGCAGAAACTATTTTGCCCTTATCTCTAATTTTGTTGAAGAGAGAGTATAAGCAATAATAGGAAGGAACAAGGGTTTTTGCAAGTTGAGATAAGGATAGCTATACAGGGAGTTGACTTGCATTGCTTTCCTGTGCATGTGTGTTACCTTCTAGGTTAATTCTTCCTGATCTAACCTTTTCTCTAGTTCCTGGTCCCCTTCTCCTATTGACCTCAGTTGCTTTTAAGGTATCTGCTTTAGTTTCTCTGCGTTGCCTTTTCAGCTTACGGTGATTAGTACATCGTCTATCCCTGTTTATATCTTTGAAACTTTTTTTGTTTGTTTCTTGGTTTTGTTTTTTTCTACTTATTTATTTGTTTTTCCCTTTTTCTTTAACTTCTTTGCTTTCCATCTCCTCTCACCCTTCCATTCTAAATATCACTAGTGCTATTATTACAAGCCAGAAAATACTTAATCACACACAGTACAGGGACAATAACAACACCAAGGTCAATGACGGGAAGACAGAAAAAACAGGGAAACCAGTTTCCCCACAGCAAAAAGTTAGTACAGGAACCAGAGGGAAATGAAGATACTCAGACCCAGACTCCAACAAAATGAAGATAAACTATGCCAAAGAACCCAATGAAGCCCACAAAAATAATCTAAAAGAAGACATACTACAGGTACTCAATGAGAATTTTATAGAGATGATACTGGATAGGGTCAACCAAAATGTACAGGAGACACTCAAGAAATTCCAAGACAACAAAAATAGTTCATTTTAAATGGTCTTTTTGTAGACCCAGTTGTCTTTGGATAGAACTTGTTGTTTGGGTTCTTTTCTTTCTATGTAGCATGGGATATAGTTTATTGTGTTTTATCCTTACTGCCTTTGGCAAGTATATTGGTCCAATTCATTTTAGGAATTTTCCTACTTACCATTTTAGGAGATAAGGTGGATTTAAAAATTACTAAGTATGAAGATGCTATAAAATTTACCAAACATGTACTACTTGGAACTGGGACTAAATTCTAGGCTTCAAAATCACTATAAGGTAACGTGCATGATAGTTTGTATAAATTAAGTGTAAAAGTGGTGGTTTTAGTGTGTTTTCTGTTGCTAATAACAAATGATACCACAGACTTGGTGAGTTATAAAGAAAAGAGGCTCATTTGGGCTCACAGTTACGGTCCAAGGTCCAGGGTCTGCATCCGATAAAGACATTATTGCTGGCAGGGTTTCAAACCTACGCAGGGCACATGTCGAGAGAGACGCAACCAGACTGGACTTTATGACAGACTCACTAGAAAGATAACCCACTAATCCATTAATCCGTGAGTGGACTAATCCATTCATGAGGGCAGAGCTCTAATAATCTTTTAAAGGCCCTACTTAGTCCTTCCTCTTATTATCTCACAAGGAGGATTATATTTCAACATGAATTTCAGAGGGGGAAAACCATTTTAAAATATAACAGTGGTATTTTCCTTGGGTTTTATGTGAAGAAATTGAGACAAAGAAAAGTAAAGAATTCTAGTACAATCCAAATCCAGGTCATGGTATGGCTAATCATGAGACAAGGAGTCTGAAAATTCCTTCACCTAAGTTAAAAAGTGTTACAAGCTGTTACAATGCTTAATTAAGAAGTCAATTTCTTGGAGTCTTAATGGTTCACTAAATTCCCATCAGTGCAGTATTAGCATTATCTAGGGATTGAAGCAAAGCAAAAATGGTCATGCATTTAACCTCTTTTTGGGAATGACCTAACAGAAATTCCAGGTATGTTAACTTGCCCATATGACCGTGAAGAAGTTCCTTAAATTCTGAATCTCGGTTTTCTCATGTATAGAATGTGTAACACCATATGCACGTATAAAAACAGAATAATGAAACCTGTTAAAAATAGTCGTAAAAAGGGGGTAGGGGTAAAGAAGAGTTCTTACTCATGGAAGGAGTGAATTTGATCAAAGTACATTATATGCATGCATGGAAAATATCAGAGTGAAACTCCTTTGAATAATTAAAATACACTAATAAAAAATGGAAAAAAAGATTATGGGTCAATATATTTGCCTTGAACTTAAGTTTTGATTCTGTTGAGAACTGGATATAAGCATCTAGGCAAATAACTTCTCTTGTGGGGAAGCTTCAACTTTAGTACTAACATCCTAAATTTTTACTTTTTTTTTTTTTAATGATTATCCTGGTATATGACATCCATTATGTTGAGCTATTAGTGTAAAGAGTGAGGGTCAGTGATTAGTCATCCAAACTCTCTTAGTACTATTGAAAAAAGCATGGAAAGTGCACCCGTAGGGATGGTGTTGAACTGCATACACTTGTTTGTAATTGTCGTGAACCAAGTTGTGACTGTATTTGGACATTGGGCCTTTAATTGAGGAGCTAATTACAGTTAAATGAGATCTTATGGGTAGTCCCTAATCCAACATGACTAGTGTACTAATAAAAGAGGGAGAGACACCAGGGATGTAAATGCACAGAGGAAAGACAACAAGAACAGAAGGAGAAGATGACCATATGCAAGGAAAGGAGAGAGGCCTCAGAAGAAATCAAGCCCCTAACACCTTGATCTTGGACTTGTAATTTCTACATCTGTGACAAAGTTTTCTGTTGCTTAAGACACTTGGTCTGTAATGTTTTGTTATGACAGCCCTAGAAAACTCTTCAAAATTGAATGCTATTTCATAATGCTATTGTATAAATCATATGGAAACCCCTATTTAATACGTTGAGACATTCAGTTCTATAACTGCAATTAAAAAATAGATTGTAAAGGAATATTAGTTTTATTTATACCTGGAAAAAGTATAGTTCTTCATATTATTGTCAAAATTATTTTCCCGAACTATTGGATCTAACTTTCTGTCGAGAAACTTTCAGTGACTTACCATTACCTCTAAACACAGCCTAAAATTTGTACCTGATATCACTGTAGAAAAGAGAGGCTTTCTCAGTTGTTTTGTTGCTTTTAGTAACATAAAAGAACCAATGATTTGTGAAATTTTTATTGTAACCATGTAATGAACTTCACAATCAAACTTTATTCATAAATCATTCCTAAAGAAATTAGACTAGATAAATATTAGATTTTTCAGTTATAAAATATTTCATCCTAAGTAGTAATAAAAATGTGAAAATAAGTTCAATATTTAATGCATGCCTACTGTGTGTTAGGCTTTGTCAGTTTCAGGGGATACAGAAGTAAACATCAGCAATTTATAGCCATTGGAACAATTGCTTTTTCATCAGTTTGCTCTTTCAGCCAAGGTTGGGGTTGACTTACTAATTCACAATGATGTGTAAGTCAGTAACTTAAAATTATATATTCTTTATCTGACAGGAGCCAAAGAAGATTTTACCTCCAAGTTATCAAAGTTTCTCTTCAAAACATTTTAAACTGATAATAGGTGAATACAGTGCAAATACTGTGTATACATGTATGTAAATGGATAATGATACTTGTTGAAACAATTCCAGAAATAGGGGGAGGGGAGGATAAAGGAGAATGATGGAGGGGGTGAATTCACCTATGATATATTTGATATATTGTAAGAACTTCTGTAAATGCCACAATGTACCCCCCACCCAACACTACAATAAGAAGTGATGAGAATATGGGAAGACCTAAGCTTTCTATAAAGGATTTGACAATTTGTGTGAAGAAGCTTAGAGACATTAAATAATTTTATTTCTAAAAGCATGTCTTCAGGA